TAGTTGCCATTTACAATTAGTACACTAAAAGTTGTATAAAAGTTATACTTTATTTAAGTAGTAAAGTAAGTACAGTGAGGTAGTTACGACATACCGGCATGCAAGCTGTCGTGAGTAACGTGTGAAGGAAGACTAACCAGAAACTAACGATTTCTGAGGTGGAAAACGGTGGTATTTATAGTTTAAAGACAGAGCACATGTAGAGAATAGGATTGTAGAATTAGATACAACATATACCATAACAGGTTACAACATATCTGATGATTGTATCAGCAGCGAGCACTGTAATAACTAAATACAGTAGCCTATATATGAATGTGAAGTAAGCGGACTGTAGATATATCTAAATATAAGAGCAAAGCAACATGTCTATATTTAAGAGTAGAATATAGTTACAGTATATTCTAAATGCACTACACATATTCACCAAAAATATTATTTGAGTCATAGAAATTAGCGATAAGCATTGTAGATCTATTTGTTTATCCAGTTCATTTAGTTAGGAAAAATAGATGTCACCAACGAATAATAGGATAAAATATTAATCCAAAGCCGATACATTATCAACGAGTAGCAAGGTCAAAGTACCTAGAACTCTCCGATTTCCCTTGCCTCATTATCTTAGCCTTCTCAGGCCTTGTATACTGTCCATTATATGAAATAATATAAAGTAAAAATAACTAAATTTAAGTCAATTACACTATGTAAGAAACCATACGTAAGTATTAATAATTGTTACTAACGTAGGTTATTGAATCAGCAATAAATACTATAACTCGGATATTACATAATCTATCGATGCGATCCGAGGAACGATGACAAGTACGATGCCCAAGAAATTAAGGGTAAGCATGCTTAGCTGATTGCGTAATCTTTAATTAATGCTTAAAACGTTCCTCTTAAGTTAAATTTCAGTCAATTCAATGGTCTTTGAGAGTGTCGGTCAATGCAATTATAAGGGCAAAATTTCAATACACATTGTAATTCACTTGGTTATCGCAAATCGATTATTGCCTTGAATTTTGAACATTGGCTATACCTTTGAATCGATAAAAAGGAGTTTTACTACTGCTAAAGATTGGTTGTTATTGTTTATAAAATTTTAATGTTACTATTTACAACAATTTGCAGAATTTTCGATTAATAGGTAGTGTTGATATTCTATTTGGCAAGATAAAATGTATTGATCAACTTAGCGACAGTTAATCAAATTATCATTTATAAAGTAGAACATCTTTACGTCATGTGATATTTTTACTTAGAGTAAATAAGTGTGAATATAGAAATGAGATTTTAACATTGTGATCTAGTAGAATTTGTAATGAAAAGAGGTTTGTAGCCAAGTAATTAAGCTTGAAATGCTCCTTATATTTAAGTGATATTTTTATTTTGAAATTAATAGTTTGTTCAAATCGATCACTACCAACTTGTAGCGATACCTATATGCTATGATGTGAAATTAAAGTAAATCATTCAAATCGATGGTGATGTAGAATAAGGAAGATACATCGATAATTATAATAAGTATCATAGCCATCAAAAGTATCCATTTTATTAGTTAAAGAAATGAGTATAGAGAAAGCAGGAAGCCAGAGTTGATATTCTCATATAATTTAGTATGCTAGTTGGTAACCTTAATACTAATGTATAAAGGTAGAAAAATACAAGCTAAAATGTTATAACTTATTTAATTTATGGATGCTAATAACAATAGCTGTACAGCAGTTATCAGCCAAACTATATTTTCCCTTGATTTCTTTTTATAACATTAATTAGTTAGATACTGGTATAAAAAAATAAAGGGAGTTGACTATAAACTGTTGTTACAATTAGCATTGGACATTTAGACTCTTATTATCTTCAATTCACCGTAAGACAAAGATGGCAATATATTAAATCTCTTATTAGTAATGATTGACATAAAAAATAACTGTTTAGAATATCTAACCTATATTTATATGGGTACTAGTACTCAAGAACGAGTAGTACTGTATAATAGAATAAATACCAACATTGAAATAAACATCCACGTCAATTATGCTGTCGCATTTTAAAAATTTATAACTTCATAAACATGCCCATTACAGCAAAACCCAATAGGCAAATGATAATCTTGACTTAGGGCTGGTAAATTGATAGATGAAATGTAAACAAGATGATTGCAAAAGTGGTGGGGTTAGAACTATTAATAATTCCGTAATTGATACAATGTATTAAAAAGTAGGCTAGATATTTGTACGAAGTCTATCTTGCATTAGTTCATGATTTTAGTATATTATCTACCTAATAGTAAGAAATATCAACATTGTACAATGTTGGTAACATAGCCTTTAATAATTAAAAATTAAAAATTAAATCGTAAATAACATGACTGATTAGAATATAGTTTAGACATATCTATAATTACATACGCGTGTATTATGCGGTCAATTACAGGAAAAAATATATCAACGTAGTGCCGGTAATATAACCTTTAATAATTAAAAATTAAAAATTAAAATGGCAAACGGCACGATTAATTAGAATGCAGTTTAGATATATCAATGAATACATATGCGTATATTATGCGGTCAATCATTGAAGAAAAATATATCAACGTAATATTGGGTCATCACGATCTGCAAATTTGTCTAGATAACAAACAATAAAAATAATACACCAATCATGCAAGGTAACAGAAAATTTAATACGACATAATAGAATTTATTTCTGGCTAAATCAAACATAAAACCAGACGTGATTACATAATATATCAATTGGAAAGACAGCTGCATGAAATTAGGTTAAATCAGTTTAAGAGCTTACGATTCGATGTGTTACATTGAACAATACATTAGTTATAATAATAGATATAGATAGTCCCAAACTATAATATTATCACTGATTAAGTTGTACTGTATACTAGATATAGCTAATACTATATCTCCTTTCAAATTAATATAAAATTTTATTGGAATACCCTGCTTATAATTTAGTACTAGCCACGATAGTGGCAGCTTGCAAGTAAATAGCATGATTAATGGGGATTGTAAGTCAGACGTGCTGACATTTTATACCGATGATATAGGTAGGATAGCACCTAATATTATTTTACTCACTATGAAACTTCCCACTCAAAAATCCAACTATAGACCTATACTGATAGCTGTAGGCTAGATAGATGATGGATGATAGTTATAGATGGTTTCAAACTATATTTAACATCACCAATAAAGTTACATACTAGATATAGCTAATATTCTTTCAAAATTAATATAAAATTTTATTTAAATCCTTTATAAAGATATCCTTATAATAATGTACTAGCCAAGATAGTGATGTTTACAAGCGAACAGCATAATTGATGAAGATCGTAAGTAAGACATACTGGTATGTATATCGGTGATACATTGAAGGCAAAATAATATGATTCAATGATAACTAGATCTACATTAGGAACAAGTTCATTCATGATCTACTAAATCATCTAGTATCGTAATATAGCTATAAAAATAATCTCATTACAAATGGCAGTTAACGTCCATTTCTTGTCGTTGGATCGAGAATAAAGATGAAAGTAGAACAAACTAATAGATACGTTACTCTTTATTAGTCTTTCCTTAAGCCTAGAATAATGGTCATTATTGTTAACCAGCATCAGGATTCATGCTGATTTTTTATACCACCTTTTCATTATTCCCATTCTATCGACTAAATAAGATGCTAGCCTATCGTCGCAAGTTGGTAATGAATGCTAGCCCTCTTAAGTTTCGCAATAACGATAATGATGAAAAACCCTATGTTGAAATAAAGCAGATAATAATATCTACAAATAAATGCCTTCTTATTTCGTCAACCCTAACTTAGCTCTAGTAAGTTATTGCTTCCATAGAATGATGATTTTATTACGTCTTACTATTGTTATTTTGCCAAATATATCAAATTACCCTAGATGATGATGAATTAGTACTATCCCCTATGAATTCTACAACGAGCTATGACAATCGATTAACTAAAATCTCTTTTATTGCCAGTTCATCCAACTGTAACATTAGCCATGATAGCAATGGAACACCAACTTAACTGGCAACGTTATTCTATGATTTTATTAATGATGATTCTATTCCTTCTTATCAATAAGCATTTATTTCTGAACAAGGTAACCTGGGGTGGTAATGAATTGAGATTATATTTTCCCTTGATTCATCTAACTAACTGTGGCGATAATAGATATTGTCATATTACAATATCTTGATGACGATTGTATTTCTTCTTTTGACTATCTTCTTTTTTATTTGTTATTTTTTCTGATAATAAGATTACCCGTCGTCATTTATTGATCAGAATAAAATGCAAAGAAAGAAAGAAAGTAGGCTTGGACAACTCCTTTTAGTCCATCTCTCGTTCTGTCTACCAGGAAAAAACTATCTAGCGACGTAATTGTTATGGTAAACAGGCCAAGCATAACATTGTGACTGTTATTATTAGCCAATTCTAGTGGCGTGTTACTAAGCTTAATTAGCCGTATAGTATTGTATACATAAAAGTAGATAGTATAAATGCGTAAATTTACAATAGCTAAAGTATGTTATAGCTTGATTACATACAGGCAATAATCTATCTGTCGTTCTAACCAGTTACATTGCTTTTATGCTGTTTGGTGGGAGAGAAAAAATTTATTTAATCGTTTATCCCGTGTTTTCTTACTAACTTATTCTACCATATTATTTTCATCACTCTATCTAATAAACTCATCGAGCGCATTAGTAAGACATTTTTGTTCATTCCAAGTTAGATTCAGTTATTGCTACGGTAATTTTAGGTAATCACGATACTATAGTCTAATCGAAACCCTTGCTGTTAAGAAGAAGGGAAAAATATTGGAATCGATCAATTCTTTCTTCTCTGCTTATCTAATCGTTTTCTCGAACTTCGACCAATTTTGGCATTTTCGTTGCTCTTGAATATTTCTCCTTTTCCTTTATTTCATTGGATTCCTTTTTGGCCTAAAGAATTTCAATATGGGTTGTGGCAGCAGCACTGTCGATCAGAAAGCTGTGATAGCAAATAATCAAATTGAAAAAGATATTCGTGAACAAGAATTACAAGCCAAAAAGATCATCAAGTTATTATTACTAGGTTAGTCATACCATTTTCACTCTATTTTAATAATATTGAATAAATAAAGAAGTTTATTAATTCGCTAATGGTGACAAGAATATCATGAATTACAAATTTCATTTCGCCATCTTTAATTACACCTTGATTGTACGAATAGAATACTAGTAGAGGCAACAAAGACATGTTACACAATTGTCGAACTAATATGTATTAATCATTGAAAGTTGACGACTATTTTCTATTCCGTCTATATTTTAAAATAAATTTGCTGTCTAAGGATTACGTTAAGTATCACTTTAGGCAAGTCTGAAGTCTGCTTAATGATTTTGCAATCCTTAAAATAGTTGAAATACCAATCAAAAATGATCACATAACAAGCAGATTGGTTCTGATAGTATAGTATAGCGTTACAACTGATCGTCTAACCATGACATATGAATTTTTTTAATTTTACGTGGCTTTACGATTTTGTAATATTTTTACACCTTTTCTCCTTGAAATGATGTATTCAGAATGAAAATATATTGATAATAGCATCCGAATCATTGTATTTGCCATAGTTTCTAAATTTATTCTTATCAAGGCAGGGGAAGCTCAGTATTTCAATCTTATAGCCAAAATTGTTTTTCGTAACAAAATATACATAACCATCTTACATTGACGCTATTGTACTGGAAACTAGGTAGAAAGGGGCAGAATATCGGCAGGCTTATAAGTTTGACTTTATTACGAACACATTGCAAAAAATAAAATTTGCTTTAAATGAGATTTTTTCTCATCTTATTTTAATAGCTATCATCCGTTTCGTTAATCTTGTTTTTTCTTCGACTATACAATGATACAAACAAGAAACGAATTTGAATAAAATTGATGCAAGTATCAAGAGTTATTATGATCTAAACTAGTTGATAGAACACAAATCATCTGATAATTCTAATAGATTGATCAGGATAAAAGAGAGAAAAAATGGTATTAATACACTACCTTGTATTACCTACCTCCTAATTACTATTACTCCAATTCATTAGTCTTATTTTTTCTTCATCTATTCAACCTTGCTAAACAAGAAGTAGATTTGATTAAAAGAGGTATAAGAATCAAAATTTATAATGAACAAACTGCCTGATAGAACTTTGATACATATGTGTGGCTTAAAACGAGTTCAAAACAACATAAAATCATGATATTCTTAAACCATCTAGCACCCATAAGAATATGAATTTTGATTTTCCTACTGTCTAGGATATAAATTGATCGATATATTTAATTAAAATACCATATTGATTTTTATGGTCAATTTTAGAATTCTAGATGGAATATGTTAGCATGTTACACTAATTGTCGTCAAGGGAAAATATCACATAAAGCTCCAGCAGTGAAATATATCTTTTATCAAATCCGACATGTTTTCATGGAATTCATAAGCTTTCCTTGCTACTTCTGTGGCTTACGTTGGAGTCAAATGAGTTAATGCTATTCCAGGGTAACATCTAATATTAATTCTAACACTGTATTAGGATCGCTGTGATCGCAGCATTAATGTAGTTGATCAGCTTGACTAGCATAATTAGTGAAAAGGTATACAATAGACCGAAATGAAATGAGAGATAGGATTTTTAAGTAGGAATTTTAATTCCCGCTCTTTTATCCCATAAAATTAATCCTATCATTTTTCCTATTATCACAGTAGACTAGCTTTGAGCCAGCTAAATGAGAAATAGGAATAGAGGATGGCTTACGATTGTTAATATAGAACTAATTATGGGAAATTGACTAAGGTCTACCAAACCATCACCCTGACTTACTGTTTTAGCCTTAATACTGCCTCCAGGACAATCTAACAAACTGTATTTAACCTAATAGGCTAACTGGATATTTCTTTTTCTAATGTTGATTCAATTGCAATTATTAATGAGAGAAGAGAAAGATTGCTAGAAGTTATTTGCTTTTACAGTAATTTTCTTTATACCCTGATTCTATTTATCTAACGAACTTATTCTAAATGATTAGAGCTATGGCTCAAGAAAAATTTATATTTATTAGATTAGCACTTTAGCCCCTACTTAATATTGTCATCATCTGCACTTCTGTTCTCAATATACATGCTATTGATATTCGATATGTTGGATATAAGTTATAATGCTATCCATCTCATTAACTATCGTTACAATTGAACATGAAGACCAAAAAGTGTCGTGGCGGATGTTATGGCGAGTTATTACCTTTAAAAATCACTTACTCATCATCTTTAGTTCTATTCAAAAGTTCTGCTATTTATAATAAATACATCAGGTACGGGCAATGCTAATTAGTTTTTTTATTATTCAATTTGCTATCCTCTTCGTTATAATATATCGGATGGCGATTATTTATTTTAATGCTTGATATTTAAGCAGTGTATTTATTGGAAAACATCAACAATTTAGATAAGTAATATTTAGAGCAGTTAGGTAAAAGTTGGGAAAAATTAGTGTGCATTGGGCGACGATTACTTAATCACGGAATGCTTCCAATCATTATGCTCTTAATTTAACAATTCAGTCTTTTTTAATCGCTAAGGTCAAGGTAATAACCGTTTATTAATTAATATAGCTATCAGTAGAAGATTTCACAATGAACCTCAGTGGTAGACGAAATATAAATAATTACAGAAAATGAACATGTCATAGCTATAGTTATATAACTATATTCGCAAAGGTCAACTATTCGGTGGCTATTGTTTTCTGTATCAGTTTGAAGTCAAAATAGTAAAAAAACGGTAGAATAATAACTTCAAATATAGAAATCGAAAATACTTATTTGAATCTAGCTAAGCTCTTATGACTTTATTCGAGATATTATCCTCCTTTCCAATTAAAAGAGCCGTACCCAATGCTCGTACAATCGATCATGGTATTATGATGCTTATTCTAGATGGTCATATGATATTCAAATTTTTGCTATTAAGGCTTGAAATAGATAAAAAAAATTACCGGTATTAGCCATAATATAAATATAGAAGAGATGATAGCATTAGCAAACGTGCATGTTAATAGGTAAAAATAAATACAGATAGCATAATAGATGAATTGATTATTTAAGAATATAAATATATCATTTTATAAGGGATTATCTAGACTTTCTTGTCTATTAAATCATTTATTGGAATCTCACAATTTGGATGATAATTGGATAATGGCAAAATCGGCCAGAAATCTAACTTTTTAGTACAGTTTGAAATTCAAGTCGTACTTCAGAACCATAAATAATCATAATCTGCACTGTCTTAAAAGGAATCTGGATCCATCTTATCGTGTTTATTATTATAAAAATTCACATTGTTGTGATACAAATACCGTTACTAAATGGATCACATCGATAGTAGTAAGATTGGAGCTGCTTAGACGGAATTTATTCTGTTACCATCTTTAGTGCTCAAGAGGTAGTCCTGTGGTTCGTCATCGATTTAGCCTTCACAGAAATGATGTAGGTTAGATTGGCTTTCTTATGGAATAGCATAGACATGGCTGTCGAATAGGTTTATTCACGCCCTCTTATAGTAAATACATACTCTTGTAGCCAATAATCAATGTTTAACTGTATCATTAAATAGCATAAGATGACATCAGACATTGATTCTCTTTTTAGAAATATCTGATGCGTGAACATGCAATAATTTAATGACACACTGTATTAATCTATTATATCTAAAATATTGATCAATACAGACGCATCTTAAATACCAATTGTAAATAATTTAGCAGCGATTTTACTCATGTTCGTTAGCCTAGCTTTAAAGTGATGACTATTGCTATGATTGTATGTACTAGAAATGTAGACGATCATTTCGTGTAGAAAATACCTTAGACATTACATATTACGAGTACTTAGCCATTTTATAATATTATGGCTAGGGGAAGATACGCTATAAGTTTATTTCCATTCTCTATCACTTTATGCCAATCAAATTTAAGTTATAGTTTTTCTAGAGCAAATGTGAAATATCAATTTTTATAGAAACAGAAATAAAGAAGAAATGTCTATTCAAAATGATTTAGATTATTTTAACACAACTAACTATTACCTAGAAACATGGCGTAATTATCTATTATTTAATACAAAAATGTTCATAAGATAACAAATTTCAGAAATATCTTTCCGTTTTAGTATGAAATGTGATGAATTTACAATCAATAAATTTCAGCTTCATCGTTGTACAAAATATTTATCTATTTTACTAGATTGAAGTGGGATTAAGCCATAAGTAAAGCGAATAAATCTTTCAATTCGGTTTTGAAGAGAACAGACCTTTTGAGTTTGAAATGCTTATACATTAAAGAAATGAAGATAAAAGTAAAGAGTTTTAAGTAACATCCCAAACTTAAGTGCTTGGGTTGATGGTTAAGACCGCCATCACGGGAATATTTTACTTTTTCTCGATTTAGCTTAATGGGATAGAAATTAACTATTAAGAGAAATAAAGTGTACAAACTCCCTTTATATCATTAACCCATTACTGACTATCTAATCATCTACAGAAAACCGAAAATGGCTTAAAATGCATAGCTTATCTTGATAATATAAGCCTTATCTTTTAGTAAATACGTAGCAAGGCCCCACTTGATAATAAAATGTTACTTGAACTAAGCATATTGACTGGATTTATATCGTTGATATGACATGGAGAATATTACAGTAGTAGCATTTTCCTTGAATTTGAAATAAAATCATTTGTTTTATCCCTTCAGTAGCTTATTTTCATCTATTTAACTCGCATAAAACATGCGGCTGAAATGATAAGAAATTATGAAATAATGTTCCTATGCAATATGTGTCCACAAGCTATATAGTAAACGAAAATTTCTATCCGCAAGATATAGATATTTTTCTTAAAAGCTAGTAATTTTACACAATAAACCTTAAATACCTTATTTTAAAAGTGTTTTGCAGGTATTTTTATTCTAAATCTTTGTTGGCATATTATCGTAATTCCAGCCTATAGTTAGGTTTCTACTTCACTTTCTATAGTGAGTAACTATAATAACCCGATTTTCAATAAAAAAAATCGGAAGAAAGTGAAATTATTATATAATTAAGCTGTTATATTATTATGTAAGTAACAATTGACATATATAGGTGCCTTTATTGCTTCAATTTCATGCAAAACAACGTAAAAGGTCATTTGACTTTTATGATTGGCCAAATATCACAATAGAAATTACCGAATTTAAGATACTTTGAGATACTTTTGTGCATAAATGAAAAGTCATTCTATAACACAGATAAAATCGTAATACCTCTAATGTTTAGGAATAAATAGATATCAACTTTTATTAATCAAATCTTTATCAAATACAGCATATATTAGTAAATAAGTTTAATTAACATCGACACCAAATTTCAACTGAATTCATAAATCCATTAACTATCACGATTTATAGAAAATCTAATTCATGACCGGATTCTATGTATTGCTCATAGCATGTTACATGTAATATCAAATAGGATATAGTTAGAAGAGAATTATTAAAACGATGAAAATCGAAAAGTTGAATTAGTGCTAAGGTAAGCAAAGTGTAATCGATAAAAGTATCGAAGTAGCGTTAATTAATGAAAATTAGTTATTCGATTACCAACCGTTGTATTAGATTTGTAACGATAAAGTATATAAAGGATAATTTAATATTTTATTAATTAGCTAACATATCAGCTGAAGCTACTGAACATCCTTAGTGATCTTATCCACAACTAATAAAACTAAATGAAAGGGTCACAAAGTGAATGAATGTATGAAATGATTACTCTGGTAATATCTACAAAGTGAGGCAGATATTTTTGTCATTACTATTGGAACTACCGTAGAATGAGATCATTTAAAATTTACATCTAAGGGAAAGCCATTAATAATTTTATCTTGAGTGTAGAAATTGACTGCTAATAGCTCCATCTTGAGCAAAATAAACATGCTCATATGAATTTTTGCAGCTTCTTTTGCAATTAAAATCTATTCTATCTTAATTAAAGTACTTTAACTTTAAAATATTTTATTTATAGATTGATAGCGTCTAACAGAAGTATGTTACTTTCGAATAGTACTAAAGCTATTCTTGTAAGTTGAAAATGCAATCGGTAGTATAACATCGAATTTATCATCTATTATAACGTAATAGACGATTAATTTAAATGAAGTATTGATTATTTTCAAAATTGATCAGTATTGATGATCCCTACAGTTGCATTTATAAGTTATCTTTTTTTAATTTATTAATATGAAGAAATAAATTTTAGATGCCACTGAAAGATATAGATGAATTATATAATTATCTTTCAGCTTCCAAACTATCCTAAATTTACTATATATCCAACATTGACTGATTGCAATTTATAATTAATAAGTTGACCTATTAAGGAATAGTAGATAAAATAAAATACGTGCATATAAAAATGATTTAATCGCGGTTTAGGTTCTAAGGTTCTACATTCTGTAGTAGTATGATCTAATAGTTTAGGCCAATAGTCTAAAAGAAGGAAAATCGAAATCAATAATAATAGGGATAATAGTTGTAAGCTACTTGTCAGTATCTCCAGATACTGTAATTAGCTGAGCATTTCTCGCTAACTTAATCATTTCCAAAGTAGAAATCCTAAGATACAGATCACGTTGATATCAAAATTTCAAGTAGCAAATTCTTATGTTTAGTTTCTATTTATGATATCATTTTTCGTCAATTTAGTTAATTCTAAGTTAATGAGGAGGTGCTCGAATAAGCTTTATAGTGATCAAAACAACTTAACACTAGATCATAGCTTAAAATGCGGAAATGTTTAAAAAGTATTTTATCCTGGTTTAATAGATTATGTTATTGAATAGACGTGTATCCAGTAAGTTAATAGAACAATATTCTAAAGGAATTCGTCGAATAGAGACTCATTTTTATTAGTAGGTTTGCTATGCAAGGAAATAATATCAATGTCGCTCCTTATTGATAGCTTAAGGCAATAATTATAACTTTTTAAAATGTTTATTTGAATTTCTTGACAGCAGCATAGAAGAAAATTTAAATAAATAAATAGTAATAAAAAAATTGAGCAGTTATGTCTGATTATCATTTTCGCTAGCTATCTTCACTCTAATTCAGTAATCTACTTATAAATATAGTTTTAATAAGAGAGGCATTCATCCGGGTTTATGAGATGATTTATTGTAAGGCATTTTGGAGCTATTTTAATTTTTATCACGATCTTTATTTAAATCATGAATTAAATATACATTTGTGATATACAGTAAAGTAAAATGGGGAATGACCTCGTTAAAAATCATACAGTATAGCACAATATGCTATTGTATTGGATTTGCTAAAAAATAAATATTGATATATTTGGCGTTAGTACAGAAAAAATTGAGTGAAAATGTGTGAAAATTTGTCTTTTAATTAGCCTAGTTGTCAACTCGTTAACCTTATGAAAAGTATTGAAAAGTAACCAAACTTTCGACTCGAACATCATACTTTTCATAGCAGTGCTACAAAGAAAATGAAGGTTATACCATAAGAATACAACAAAGTTTGAAATTGAGATCTCAAGTATAGGTGCTGTACCGGTAAAAATAAAGTAGAGAACAATATAGTGGAACTTGATACATGATATGACTAAACCTGAGTCCTTGGAGACATCGAGAATTAATCGTGCATTAGATGTATTGAATTATCAACTTAGACTAAATGCAGAATTGATACTTTGCTATCCAGCCCTAACCATTATTGGTCACATTATATGATGTTCTAGGTTCCTTAATATGCCTGTCCTCCATACGAGATTATATGCCTATGTCGTAACTGATCTATTACCACAGCGACTATTTTTTCAAGTCTGAGACGATTATGCCTGTAGCCACAGATTATCAGCGATCTATGAATTATTTTTTTTTAAGTTAATTTAATTCTTATCTGTTAGTTAAAGCTTAACAGATTGTTGCCAGTAGCCTTATAGTAGATTGATTTTTTTTCAGTGTGTCTATGAAATAATATGCTAATTCTGGTGCGGTATATTTTTATCCGAAGGCATATTTTATATTGAGATAGATATTATTGACGCTATTCAATGTTTTAAGAGTAAATCTATCCTAAATTGATAATGGCAGCCTAAAAGTTTTTATCCAAGTCTTAATATGGTTCCATAACAGGAATTATTTAAGAAAGAATTACTTGAGGATCCTAGAGCTAATTATTGTAACAAGTGTGTCATAATATTTTATATTGATACATGATAATCTATCCAAGAATAGAGTGCATTACTATAAAAGGAATAAAAAATAGCATGAATTAGCTTGAATGGAGCATACCTAGCCGATGAAATGCGTTTTTCAAATTTAAAACAAAATAAATCAACTACTATGAAATAGTAGCATACAATTATGATTCGAATTGATAACTAAGGAGAGTAAAGTTGATAGAATATATTACTTCTTGATTTGGATTAGCTCGTTTAGATAATTTCAGTAGAAAAAGTCAATAAAGAGCTTATATTTGGATTAAATAATAGGACAAGATCCAGTAAAACAAAGCATGGTCGGTTTCTGGTGTCCACAGCTTACTTTACCAAATCATTTTTACTAACTTAAATTCGTCAAGGTTGAGCACATCAAAATTTAAAGACATCAATTATATAATTATCGTTTAATCTGGTAGAGTTTACTTTCTACCGTACTCTTTAAATTCGATGAATTTCGTTAATTTATCCGTACAACTTCACATATTTTTATTTATTTATCCAGTGTTCAATTACATTGATTCTGAGTTTATGATCGGGTAAATATTCATATTCACACTGTTCTAATTCAATAGATGATACTGTAATATCTATTCAATATAATACCGTTACGTAAAAGCAGGATTACCTATATTAATTTATTTTATCATCAAATGAAGATTAATCTTTCTATGTATTAAAATTATTTGTTATAATCAATAACAGGTGCTGCAGAATCGGGCAAAAGTACTATCGCTAAACAATTGAAGTAAGTATTGTCCGAGATCATTGTACGTAGATAATCGAATAGAAAGAAAAATATCTTAATCGATGATTGATTTATTGCTATATTTAATATTACCGACATCTTTAAACAATGATTTATGATGACGTAGATGTTGAATAAATTTTAATATTCGTATTAAGGAAAGTCAATAACATCCGGCAGATTAGATAAATTTAAAATTTGTCTTAAATTCCCTAAAGGAGCTAAGAAATAAATTTTATAGTTTTCTAAATAAAATCATATAAGAAGCGATGTAATTTTGATCTCTAAAAATATTTATGTCATTCCTCTTACTAATATCCTATCTAGTTAGATAGATAGAAAATAAGTTTAGATATCGTATAATATGTACTTAAGCCTGCTCTTTCAATTCTTAATTCACAAGTCATCAACCTGATCAACTATAATAATAGTCATTTTGTCATCTTTATTGATATCCAATACGTTTAATAATAGAGCATTCATAGCTACCACACTTAATTTAACTTACGGCCCTTATATGAGAGTATATTTTCGTTACTTGAATAACGATTTTGATATAATTGCTTTCTTTCTATAGTGAAGATCTTGTGTCATTAAATTATTAGAACAACGCAATTGAGATTAGCTGTCGTAATTTTGAAATCTTAAAATGAAGAGTTTTTTTGTTCATAATTTAAAAGTAGCTAAAATTATGGAACCTTGCATTTTGGTTAACAATCTTGATTGATTCCTATACCATCTCGACAAATTTGGAACCATAACAGTTTCAGCTGAACTCATCGTTTCAATTATTCTTTAAGTTGAATAATTTAAAAATTTTCCCTTCTATTTTAGAACGCGATAGTGTTCAAGTAAAACTTAATCTGATGTGTATAAAATTATCAATATCTATTCAAGATTTAATCTTCTGTTATGCTAGAGACATTCTAGTATCGATAAAATTTTTTTTAATTTAACCCTAAGGCATTTACGTATAAGCTTTTCTAGCACTTTTAAAATTATATATATGTATACAGAAATTAATAGCATGTCAAGTGTCCGTGATATCTTGAATCCTAACTGAATTCATATTTAAAGATATTCCTCATCAAATATCTTCTATGCTAAAATTTAGTACATGAATTATACTCTTAATATAATCATACTATTTAAAGACTGAAATAATTTTAACTATATTTTTATGTCTAATTTATATCTTGAATCAATTTCTTAGAATTATTCATATGGAAGGTTTTACTAAGAATGATATCGAGAAAGCCAAACCTATTATTTACAGTAACATTGTTCACACATTTATACAAATTCTGCAAAATATGAGACCGTTGAAACTTGAATTTAATAGTGAACAACGGCAGGTAAATTATAGGCATAATTAGTTTCTATTTATGAAGAATAACTGTGTTTCCAGATGATGATGGCGATATAAGTTACTATAATGTAACTATTTAATACATCTGCTAGAGACTATATGAGCTATCATAATACTAAATAAAATTTACGATGTGATGTACCTAGTACGATTTGATTCAGTTTAAAGGCAGAGACACTGTTTTACCGCGTTTACTATCTCAGTAATATAGTCAATTGCTGTAGATACTAGATAAAAATTTCAAAACGCCACATTACCATAGTAAAATTTTTAAACAGTCCTTTGCATTAAATGCATTCTTACTATCATTTTAAAATTCTATTATACAGGCTGATGCCAATCAACTATTTGACATTATTGGCAAAATGAAAGACACTGATCCCTATCCACCTAGCGTTTTGAAATCTATGAATGCTTTATTAGCAGATGGTGGATTTCAAACTACAATAAAACGTGGACATGAATATCATCTTCATGATTCCGCTGAATAGTAAGTCTATATTTTAACTGACTCTTAGACCTCGCTATCATTTCCATAGAGGCACGAATTGAAGTATTCGTATAGATTTGCTGAGAGTACTGCGCTAGCTGATTTAATGCTACTATTCTGTCTTTATTTCATTCATATAAATGTAGCTTAAAGTTTCTCGCATGTGTAAAAGTATTCAAATATTCATATGGCTTTAACTTGTGTTAATAAATTTAGTAAAGACTGGTTACTGGAAATGTAATTGAAATTATTCCTGGTGTCGATATCAATTTTTTTAGAATGATAGATCATCTAAACTATTGAATTTCTGGCTATAATGAATATATTTAATTTTTTAACCTGAGATTTATCTAAATTTAGCTTCCTAAAGTCTCTTGATCGTATCGGAAATGACAATTATGAGCCTACTGAACAAGATATTCTGCGGTCAAGACTTCGCACAACGGGTGTAAATCAGATTGAGTTCGAGTTTAAGATGCTTAATTTCCAGTAAGTTCAATCTTTCTTGGCGATATTTTACTCAGTACCCATATTTCGTAAATAAAATGAATTCATAGGCCAGTATCGGGACAAAGAGAAACTATTCGTGAGGCTAGATGTAGTTTACTGTCAGCTAAAAAAAATTTCAATTTATGTGGCCTTGTTTTATGTCTATTTCGATTGAAGAAAATATGTTGCATACAGTATATAACTTTAACGAGTAGAAGTTCTCTATTTCTATAAATATCTCACGGAAGATGAAATCCTGTCAGTATACTCATAATATTGTAAAAGTACGAACAATAGCTGCGGTACTATCTGTTCAATATTTGAGTCGGGCATACTTGCATGATTACTTTTAATTTTGAATATTTATTCATGATAACTTTGCTACCTGGTGGGGTAATAAATAGATATAGATGTCGTCATGATAGTACTGCTAATGCCTATGATACAACTCTGAATTAGTTGACTATTTTTGCTCCCAGTCCTAAGAAGCTTTGGTATTTCTTTCAAAATTTATATGCCAAATTAATAGAAGACAGAAAAGTGATTACTACCATTAAAATATTGAATTATGTACCCTTATTTAATGTAACCATCGTATTTCTATTGTCTCCATAAATACTTGTACAACGATGTTGAAGAAATCTAGAATCATACCCAATAATTTATTTACTATTCATACACCAAAAATATATATTTATAATGGGGTTATATTTTCGACTGTATTACAGAGAATAAGTAGCGAAATAGGCACTTTAATATTTTATCCTTAATGCTGAACGATCATAATTTATGGGTATATGAGTGTAGTATATAGTTTTACTGATTCACAATTAAGCTGATTCTTTAACCATTTTCTTGGATACAGAGTGATCGATGTTGGTGGGCAAAGGTCAGAAAGAAGGAAATGGATTCATGTCTTTGATAGCGTAACTGCTATTATATTTTGTGTCTCGTTAAGCTGTTATGATATGACAGTTTATGAAGATGGAAACACGGTAATTTCGGATACCGCTGTTAAATTTTTATATTTTATCGCCTTGATAATTAGTTTTCAATTTTTATTATAGTTCCAACAGTTCAGAATTGATTACGCTATATTATCAGTTTATTGTGCTGAATTTGCATATAGCCTATATTCGGATCAAGATTTAATATGATCCTAGATTGGCTCATTCTAGCTAACTAATGATATTTTTTCCTCGATACTACAGAATAGCATGCATGAAAGTCTTAAATTGTTCGATTGGATCGTTAACAACGAGTTCTTTAAAGAAACATCCATCATTCTATTCTTGAATAAGAAGGACTTATTCGAAGAAAAAATTAAATCTGTTTCACTAACAGTATGTTTTCCGGAATATGACGGTAAGAATATATCTTGCTTATACTTTTACTGCAATATGAATCTGTTTAACATCCCTTATTTTTTATGCTGTTAGGGACTAAATCGTATGAAGATACAAGTCTATTCATTCAAAAACAATTTATTGACAGAAAACAAAGCAGCCAAAAAGAAATTTATTGTCATTTAACTTGTGCTACAGATACCCAAAATATATCTGTCGTATTTGACGCTGTGACGGATATTGTCATTTCGAATAATTTAAGAAATTGTGGATTACTGTGATGAGAATAAGATGTTATTTATGTTGAAATTTCATGAATGCTACATTAGCCTTATGTCTAATGATAGAAATCAGGCAACGAAAGATAGCATGATATTCTTTGATGACGTGGAATGCAAGTTGTTAATTGCTTCTTTTGCTAGCGTAATACATGATCCAATTTTTACCTTCCACGTTGATTAGTAAACGAGAGTGAATGTTTTACACTTGAATTGTATTCAGATTAGTAGGGTCGTAGTTAAAGAAAGAAAACACTATCCTAGCATATAGTGCAGAAAACATTTATTTTTTCTCACTATCAAAATACAAAGGCAATCTAATTTTAAAAACTAGCAATAACGAAATATGATTTAATCATGATCATCATGGCTTTTATGTCTTTAACCCAACAACAGTGAAATATCGTTTGATAGATGAATTTTCCTTTGATATTCAACTTCTACGATTTAATAATTTGGTCATGTCAAAAATGACTTGGTAGCTTATTGATCTATCTGACATAACTCTAACAGTGATTTTCATTTATAATTTTATTATCTTGACAAACTTAATTGTATTAGTATTTATAATCCAGGCTAACTATTTAATTTATAATTATTATCATTACTATTAGTTTCGTCTGGATTGAATCATTGTTGTCTAAAATATTTATCATATGGTAGAAAAGTGTTAAATCTGGCCTAATTAAGAATTAGCTTTATTTAATATTAAAAAAAAACAAAAGTAACTTTTACCGGCTAGGGTGAAAATATATTTATCCATGTTAATTAATTAATTCATTCTATAATACCATCTTTTAAGTTATCTACATCGATTATATACCCAAATATCTAACCTAGTCATGATTTGCAACTTTAACGAAATAACGACACTCATATGGTATAAAAATTTTTTACTTCATCATTACATTTTTGGACTCCATAATAAAACTACCAACTTATATTTAATTACCGATTTCTTGGCTTTAATAATCTATATATAACATATACATATATCAATCAATTTCATGTATCAGCTGTACTTTAATAGACGATTGAAAAAAAATGCTACTAAAGGTAATCATGTTTTACCCTACAATATATTGGATATAGTATACGAGTATATAGACGATATCTCTTACGCAACACTATCCAGATGAATACTATTTACAAGATGTATCTAGAAGATCATGATCGAGACGGCATTTCCTAGTAAGTCCATCTATCCTATTCCATTATTACCGTAACTCTTTTTCAGGAATATAGCAAACTAGTGAAATACGACACACATTGATGATACTAAAATTACGTATGCATAAGTTTCAATACAATCACAAAAAGGAAATAAATCCGCGTGATTAAAACTATAAAATTACTGGCCTAATTCCACTTTGGGTAAAAATACTACTTCGTTAGCTAGATATAATTCTTAAACCCTACTAGATACCTATACTATCATAATAGAATGGACGGATATTGCAGTGTATCTGCTACATCGCAAATTTCACTCTACTAAATTATATTATAAAACTTTCTAGATCTCAGGTAGATTGTTTATTGGAAAACTTATTCGATTAGCAACAGAAGCATGAACATCTTATTACTGACACAGTATGACTAGTAGAATTACGGTAAAGATTTCTTGAGCTGCCTGATAATATAATTCTTAAAGGAATGGAGTTGGAAAGTTACTGCAATTTTTAGAAATAACTTAATTCACTGTAGTAATGCATTTAAAATGTTGATTTAAACGCCGAAAGTACGAACCTATGGCAGGAATACTTACTGAAATAGGTCTACGAGCAATTTATCTACCGATGACTAATGCTGGCTAATTACATCGTGGATTACTTATTATAGCAATAGTAGTAATGGTCGTAAAGGTATAGCTCTACTAATTAAGATTTACTATATGAGCTGATTGACTCATTTGGTAGAAGAAAACGATCTCTGGCGAGAATACTTGGCACAACCGTTAAAGAGCGATACAGCAATAAGTTCGTTTCGAACAACGACTGTAATTGCAGATCTTAATAAAATGATTTTCTCGATTGATTACCATTTTCCTTTCTTAAGTAGACAGTGTTGTTTGTCACTCGAATTTTATTTTCTAGTAGATTTCGATCCATTGGGCTAGATAACAACACTATTTTTACTAGTAATTCTTTAGTCTTCTAATTGTATTATAGAACAAACAGTATACAATACGCAAGGAATTTTAGCATTTATTTAAGGGATTCTAGAGGTTATCCATAGACAACATTTCCATTGGGATATTAGCATACAAGTGGTCACAATTCTAATGTTCTATTCGCGGAATAGACTTAATAATAATGTAAGTAATGAATATAAGGCTGGCATATACTCTATTCTATGGATACCATCAAATATTTTCTCATCGACTTGTTATTGTCACTAAAATGTATATTCTCCGATGAATTGGATAATTGCAGTCAGATAGAGTGATTAGCTAATGAATAACCGACTTTCCGTTATTACTAGAAGAAGAAGAATAGAACCAGTTCCTATTCCCAAAGGGGTAACGAACTATCATTTTAATTTGACTAATGAGGCACTTTTTTAACGTAACTTAGTAACAGCGGTTGCTGTTGTCGTATATCTTGTCAAAGGTAGGAGACTATAAATGCATAAAGCTTAGGTAAGGTCAGTATTTGGATCAGATCGCAAATTTGCCTCGAAGAAATAGTCCTTACTGAGAGGTAAGCCTGAAAACAATTTTACTATAATTAATGTTCAATCTTTTCGTTCATATTTCACTTTCTGTAAATCGTTTTATGGCACAATCTTTCTCTGGTAATAGCGGTGACAAATATTAGCAATTACAATAACATTGTGATCTATTAGTAATCGCTGAAAAATCTTTATCTGATTTATTAGTATTTGTCGTTGACTGAATATGCTATGTCATGGATGCTAAAAGTCTAAATTAATCTCAATTCTCGATAGACAAAATGAATATGAAATTGGCTCTACTTGCATCATGTGTCTTCTTGCTTGTCTGTGCTTCAGACGAGTTGCAAGGGTATCCGCATGAAATTCAAGAAGACGATTTCGATCTTAAAGAACTAATTGAAGATAGATGGGAAGACCGGCTTAAAGAACGCCACCGATATCAAACTAAGGCGGATCAAGAAACTAAAAGAAATGATCAAACGAAAGCTGATCCTCTATCTCGAGCAAATTACGAAACGAAGGATAACTATCAAACCAAAGCGGAGCCAGAAACCAAAGGAAATTACCAAACTAAAGGTAATTATCAAACTAAAGCGGACCAAGAAACCAAAGGAAGTTACCAAACTAAGGGAAACTATCAAACTAAAGCGGATCAAGAAACCAAAGGAAATTACCAAACGAAAGGTAATTACGAAACTAAGGGAAACTATCAAACTAAAGCGGACCAAGAAACCAAAGGAAATTTCCAAACTAAGGGAAACTATCAAACTAAAGCGGATCAAGAAACGAAAGGTAATTACGAAACTAAGGGAAACTATCAAACTAAAGCGGACCAAGAAACCAAAGGAAATTACCAAACTAAAGCGGACCAAGAAACCAAAGGAAATTTCCAAACTAAGGGAAACTATCAAACTAAAGCGGATCAAGAAACCAAAGGAAATTACCAAACGAAAGGTAATTACGAAACTAATGGAAACTATCAAACTAAAGCGGATCAAGAAACGAAAGGTAATTACGAAACTAAGGGAAACTATCAAACTAAAGCGGACCAAGAAACCAAAGGAAATTACCAAACGAAAGCGGACCAAGAAACCAAAGGTAATTACCAAACTAAGGGAAATTATCAAACTAAAGCGGACCAAGAAACCAAAGGAAATTACTAAACTAAGGGAAACTATCAAACTAAAGCGGATCAAGAAACGAAAGGTAATTACGAAACTAAGGGAAACTATCAAACTAAAGCGGACCAAGAAACCAAAGGAAATTACCAAACGAAAGCGGATGCCCCAACGCCAGCAAATTATGAAACGAAAGGCAATTACCAAACTAAAGAGACTTTTCAAACCAAAGCCCCTGAACTCGCAATGGAATCATCTAATGAAGATTTTGAAATCCACGCTACTGAAATTTTGTCTCATGACGATAAAGACGACGACATTGCGAGATTGATAATCGACCATTTAGCTCGAAAGGAGTCCCTGAAGAATACCAATAACAATAACAACAACAACAACAACAACAACAACAACAATAACAACAATAATAATAACAATTCTAATGGGGTAAGTAGCTTAGTAGATTGTTTTGAACTATTCTCCTGAGTATTCCACCGGAATATTGTAGTAGTATAGCATTAACCCGTTGAAAGAAAGCATTCTGTTAATTAGCAATTATTATACAACGTTACATTGTGGCCATTACGAATAGCTAAATGCATTATTTCCCACTAATCTCATTGATTTTAATGATAGTATAGCAATGACCTGTTGAGAAAGTATTCATTAAACTTACAATGTTGCTCTTAGTTTGTAGCTCACAACAACATAATCACAATCCATCATTATTCGCTTAATATTCCACAACATTGATCGTAGCGTACTGTATCACAGATGATTGGATTGCGTTAAGACTATTACTGTTCGTTTAAACAGTCGGTTAGTAGAGATAATAGTTCATTAATTTTATATCATTCAACGACATTAGCTTGTTTAAATGCTATCCTAAGCAAGATTAGGATACGATTTCAATGACATTACCCTTCATTTATATCGGTTAGTGAACTAGGAGGATATTGCTAGACAGATTAGATGACGTGATGTTAAGTAGCTACTTCAACTAGGACAAATTAGATATAGAATAGACGTTCTTTATGTCAAAACAGCAGTGGTAGAGTTGTATTGATATCAACTGCAATGATTTACTTCGATATAGCCCTGAAAAATTGTGGTCTACATTCACTGCCTAAAAATATTTTCATTTTTTTGATCATGTTTGCTTTCTAGTGGTATCGTCGTCGACGTCGTTTGGCTCGCCGTCGCCGCTGGGGTAGCCGTCGTCGCCATGCCTCTTACTTCAACAATTGTCGCTGCTACTGCAGCAGTTAAACTTGATCGTTATGCAATATAAAAACTGCTGCGGTCATCCAAAATTACTGTAGACTGCATCACAGCTAGTTAGTAGTTGGGTAAACTTTTATCAAGAATTTGACAATAAAGTTTAAAATAAAGTCTTTACTAAATCCAATTCCAGGTTCTTATCTAACATATATAATGCCCTAAAAAATTAGCGTTATTGAACGTAAAATTTAAGTTACGCAAGATTGATTTAGGTAACAAACTTGTGCATTATCAATTACTATGATGTGCTAAGTATAATATGAACCATTTTGCAATTTGGTAGTAAAATATTATACAGCGTAAAAATGAGATGAAGTAGTAGAAAAATACGATGAAATAATATCATGAGGTACCAAGGGTAGAAATAGCTTATCATTGTTGAGGGGTAATTTTGTAACGATGTAAGTGAAGGCATGAACATGTAAATATACTGATATTTCATCAATGGAACTAGAAACGATACGGAAATGACTGAGAATCTGTTGAAAGATTTTATCTTGAAATCAGTCATTAAATCTAGTTCGTTATTTTGGCGAAATTAATAATATAAAGCATCTTGATAATGTTGCCATTCCGGTTAGGATTCCAGTAATGATATATGAAAATTAGGTCGTAGAGTAGCGACAAGCAGGAATTATATTAGAGACAACAGGTTCAATTTAAATGGTTCTAAATGAAGTTATCGTCGATGTAAAGTACTAACACCGTCTTCTATATTTTAATGGTGACAAATTCATTTATTCTCGATCATAGAGGTGAAACACGGTCTTTTACGTTTATATTCCGCCCATATACAGAGAATACTGGGAACTCTGAAATTCTAGTTATCCATGATACTTTTTGTATGGATTATTGATAGGTATAGTTAGGTGATAAAATATCATGTTTAGCTAATTATCCTATCTTGAAACCGGAAAATTAGTTGATATGCAATGAAAGGACTACTATCATCCGGATTTTCACTAATAGGAACAGTTGTGCTGTTGACCACGAGAGTTAAATAAAATTAAAATTTCCATTAAAATATTTACTATAGGTAAATACTCGGATTCGTATCAGTAATAAGAATTCGAATAATGATATGAAGAAAAATTGATTAAACTCGTTGATAATGATGAAAATTTGGAGATGTAATAATAGATATCAACAACTGGCTCACAATTGGCCATTTGCAATAGTATAAGGACGATATTATAATTAGTAACTGCCAAAATTGGGAACACCTTGGCTGTCATCAAAATTTTCAACCACTTTAATCTGATTCTCCAATTCAAGGCTGCAGCTATAATATTATCCGGATAGAGATCTTAAAAATTGTTTTTCTATCTATGGTTATCCGTATTATATTGATAATCTATACAGTACATAGGTCAAGTGGTTTCATAGGCTATCTTGGCCTATCTACCAGTAATGGAGCCGATAAATGAGAGCAAATTAATGGAAATCGATAGATACATCGAAATAAAATTGATACCTATAGCAATTACTACAATCGATACCTGATTACAATTATTCACCTAAGGATTGTTTCAACTTTCTAGAACATTACATTATATAGTATTCAGGAATTTCGCTGCACTACCATCTTCAATAAGTTAGATAATTATAATCATGCATATAGTGTACTACCTCAAAAGGTTCAACGTGCAGTATTTGCTATCGTAGTTTCATTAATTAGCAAAGACTGAAATTAGTATTATCAGCTTATCTCGAATTTAATGAAATATAGTATAGTATTTTTAATTGTAAGGGGTAAAGGACAAAGTATAAAGAACTTTTAGAGTGAACGTACATAGATAGAGTTATTTTAATTATCATGAATATTTGCTCGTCGTCGTACTTTATAGTATAATTGTATGTAAGACATCACGCAGTCTTTATCGTGCCGATATACCAATAATCGAGCAGATGCATAATACCAAGTTGATTAAAATGGCTTTTAAAATCCAGGTAACGGAGATGATAAAGTCAGTACTAGATTGATCTTATGTACCATGCTACGCAAGCATTCAATTACCATATCCTGACTTTAAGGCCTACATAATTTCAGCAGTACTGCCATCTTCCATGTATTAGATAAGGTCGATATTAATCAATGTCAATAAAAACTCCTAGTCTGTTAACCATCAATAGCAATAATAAACAATTCAAACATTATTGTCTCCAAATGAAAGTATTAATGTATTGCTAATAGTAATGAGACAGAAATACGTTAACGGCATGTAATAAATCATATTTTACTATACAGAGGCCATCAATAATCAAGAATTGACATCATCATTAGCCACCTGCTGATCAATAGACAGTAAATAGCTTTTTCCTATGGTGTATTGACTATATCTTATGGCACGCTTATTATTACCATTCAAAGCCATTAATCGTAATATTGCCAATAGAATATGTATTAAAAGCCATTCTCTTTAATTTCTTTGCTTTATTAGATTAACGTATGTCGCCATATTGAATAACCTTCCTAAATTTGTCTAGCCAAATCTGAAATTAGCCTGCATATGACGATAATAGACTTACGTTATCAACTCTTGTTAATATAAACAGACATCTAATTTTCCTTTAAGAGATTAGCGCCACTATGACGACCAAAATGAGATAAAGTAGTTATTTTGACAATACAGTCTTTAGTCAACAGTGAGGCAATAGAGAAATAGTAGCCATGACTCCATCAATTCAGAGCCTATAACATATATTGTCAAAGTAGTCAATGCGTAATTAGAGTTATATTCGTACTTTAAGCAGTCACGTTCCAAACTCAACTACTGACTATCCCACGAAACTTAATTAAGTGACTGGCTAAGCTAATTTTACATTTCTGTTATTATGCAATGTCATTCAATACAGAAATATTGATTATTTTAGTAATCACATACTTAGGTACCTAACTAGGTTAGACTCCTCTTATCAGGCAAAAATATTCTATGCAGGGACATTGATGACTTTAGTAGCCACGGTAGATCACTTATTATCTCATTAGGTTTAAATTTCTAAAAGTAAAGAAAGTGACAGTAAAGCATTTATTTTGGCTTGGGTTTATTATTGAGTACCTTGTACAAGAATACTGACTACATTCGCTAAAGTTTGATTAGGTGGCTAGCTAGGCTTAGACTCGATTTCAATTAGTAATTTGTGATAACTAATTTTGTTTTGCTTCATTGGAAAATTAGCACTGAAATTGTACAGTACTCAAATTAAGCAGCCATAGTACATATGACCTAATTCATGAAGGGACATATTTTCTAATTAGCCTTGAAATGTACAGATTGCAATTTAAAAGTCTTGTTATTTCGAATCAGTAAGATATCCGCACAAGAATCTTAAAATATCGCAGAAAATTGTAATTTTATTTAGCTGGACAAGATGACTCTTTGTAAGTAGAAAAATAGAAATTTATTCAGAATCATTCGGTTAACTTAAACCTTTCGTGATTATAACTTGTTGTCAAGTTTTACGCAATGAGTTATACGCCACGAGTAAGATTTGTAACTGATTTTATTATCAAAAATGTCGAGTATTTATAGTTATTCTAGCTTATACCATTAGTATGTAATCTACCTTACATAACTATATTATTGCGATCATACTTAACCTGTGAATGAGCTAAATCATATTTCGTTTTTGGATATACCACTATATTCATAAACACTTTTGTTTACCTATTTGTTCACATGTATAAAATTACCGAAATGAGTTCCTAACTATTTTCTATTCTTTAATTATACTTAGCAGTTAGCCAGGATTTAGTAAACGGTTGTTTTATCTCGTATAATAAATGTTATAAAAAATTTCACTTCTTTTATATCTACTTAATTCTATATCTCCTTGATAATAATGACCTGTTCTAAACTGATAGATGATTTCTTTTACCCATTATGCTAGTTATTGGCACTAAACGAGCCAGAACGGTGATAGATTATTGTCGTTTCCGATTTAGCACAAGTTGTCAAGATTGCATGCAAACACCTAGAAAATCGATACGGTATTTTAACATACGATAGAGCATAAAGAAAATGTTGTATAATTTAGTACGTGTAAATAACATAGTTGAAGTGGATAAATGTAAGATCAAGGTTAGAAATTTCTCTCAAATCACTTTCTCATATCACTTATTTAGAGACATAGCAGCTTGGCTTGGCTTTGGTGGAGGCGTATTGACTGCATTTGGTACCTTTACAACGGTAGAGAAATTGCTATCATAAGAGCTTAGTCAAGTCCTGGGTTTGGCTTAATAACTGATTCTTTTTAATTACTATTATTATCATATTATGCAAAGAAAGCTGAAACTAATGAAGATCTTAATGAATCTCAATTTATGGCAAAAACAGTTACTGATCTCTCTAAACTCAAACAGGTTTAACGACTAATGCATTTATTAACTTAATCGATTGCAAATGTAAACCATCTGAAATTTTTAACACTGTTACTTATCCTCTAAAACGAAAATAATTTCTATGGCTCATGAAATAACTGTAAAGAATAAGGATGCTATGAGAACCAGGATGGAACTAATGATTTTAAAAGTTCAGGTAGAAAATAAGCCTCATCATAACCCTTAGATGGTTTTCTTTTACCGTTATGTTATAACCTTACCATTTCTTTTTGGTATGATTATCAATCATCTTAACAATCTTCGCTAAAAACCATAGGCAGATTTCTGTAAAAGTTTGCAAGAATTTGATGATAAGGAGTTTATTGTGGATAAATGGGCTGGAAAACGTGTATGTTGAAATTATGAAATTACTAATGACAACTTCATCGTTATCAGACTCTAAAATTTTTCTATATGGTAAGGGGATTACAGGGCAGTGGAGGCGTTTCTTGTATAATTCAAAATGGAACGGTCTTCGAAAAGGCTGCAATTTTGACATCGGTAGTCCATGGACATTTGTCTGATAATGCAGCTGAACGATTAAAGAAGAGGTATTTTTTATGCTAAAATTCAGCCTAATAACATAAAGCAGTTATTATTGCATGTATGCTACTCATCTAGACTAATCAATAATATATATTTTGTAGGCGAAGCGATATTAGAGGCACAATCATTCAGTACTTTGCCGCTGGCCTTAGTGTAGTTATTCACCCGGTACCACAAATAGTTTGAAAGGCATCTTAATAATATGATTTAGATATTATGTACCTTAAGGAAAAAAAATTTAAAATTGAATATTATTAACTATTTATGAATACTTACTATTATAATAGCGTAATCCTATGATACCCACATTCCATTGCAACTTCCGCTATTTTGAAATTATTGACGAACATGATAAAAGATACTGGTGGTTTGGCGGAGGAGTAGATTTAACGCCTTACTATCTGGATGTAGATGTAGGTTGATATGATGATTTCTCATATAGTATGAGCTATAATTTGTTATTGCTTGGATAAATGTATTAATAACGATGACAATGGCTTACTTTACGCTGCATTAACAGGATGTTAAGTATTTCCATAAAACGTTGAAATACGCATGTGATACGTATAACCCAAAATTTTATCCTGAGTTCAAACAGCAGTGTGATCGATATTTTTATATTGAACACCGTCATGAGCGTCGAGGTGTGGGCGGAATATTTTTTGATGACCTTGATTGCTTAGGCCCACAAGGAACATTTGAATTTGTAAAGGTTCGATAATAAATTTTGTAGCTCATTCCGTAATTCGACATAAAATAAAGTAGGCGTAACTGTTCAAATTTCCTTTTATAGACATGTGCACAATCAATAATTCCGTGTTACTCTGCGGTTGTGAAGAAACATTTAACCGACGCTTATGGCTATGCTGAACGTCAATGGCAGCTGCTTCGTCGAGGAAGGTACTTATCAATTGTATTTCCCACTGTTAAATCATCAGAGAGTGATGAAGGATTTCATATATTTTTAATCTCATTCAAGATATGCGGAATTTAATCTTATCTACGATCGTGGTACTAAATTCGGTCTAAATACACCTGAAAGCAGGGTTGAATCTGTTTTAGCTTCCTTACCATTAGAGGCGGTGAGTTAGTTTCTATCAGCATCGTCAAAGTTAATTTATATTATAATCAGGGAAGAAATAGTCTACTAACAGTATAAATTGTGTAGAAATTTTAATGCGTATGCATTTACAAAGTACGGTACATATATATCGACTATTGCTTGCATGATATACATGTATTACTGTCTATGCTGTTTATAATTGTATTGATTTTGAATTATATAGAAATTCAAACATGAATATATTTATAAAGTGCTGTACATCCATAGTACATATCAGTCACTGGCAGCATAACATAGATATATTATTGTCTATACTGTTTATTGTGAATTGTATAGAAATTCAAATTCGAATATATTTACAAAGTACATTTATATATATTGGTCACCGGCTTCATGATATACATGTACGAGTATTATTGCATATACTGTTTCTAGAGATGGGACTATAAGCACTCACCATTGCCGGGTTCGAAAGAAGCAGAGTTAATAAAAGTACTTGTAAAGCCGAAAGATTGGGTAACAGATGAAGACTAAGTGCTCTACTATCATTTATTAACATCGTCAATTACCTGAGATAATAAATCGATTCGTTGGTATTTTATGATTTTAAAAACTAAAAGTGAATTTGTCCTGTGATTTAGATATTTCTCTTACGTAACGACAATTCTTTAATATGTTATATTATCGTAAATTAAAAAAACGAATAGAATAGTATTTTACGGTAATTAATCTTACACCACTAAACTATATTTACAAAATGATATTCTTTCCGTAATGGATTATAAGTTAGAAATTAGAATCTGGCTATGTACAAGAATAGCGACATGTATCATATTCATATTTTGCGTAGTTTAATTGTGTTATCCATTAGATTATGCAGGGTTATCGTAAATCCTATACTCAAATACTGGAATGTTTGTAGCTTATCCTAGCTATATCATCAAGTAATCCTTCTATGACATACGTGCATTATATATATTAAGTCAGTAACGGTCTACATAACATAATATCGGAATAGATCTGAAAGTAGCAAGTAAAACAAATTAGAATAAATTATAATCTTATTACGAATTGAGTAATTGCTGTTGATAAAATCTATTATCTGTTCTCATTCAGGTTATATCATTTCTTTTGGACTCATGTAAAATTTAATGTATTACATTTGATTCTTGAACATTTCAATTTGACATGTTAATGTTTTGTGAATGTAATCTATTTGGATTAAAATTTTACTTCTCTACAATATATGATACTCGTAAACTTGAAAGTTCATAAATAATTTGTATATTTAGTAAAACTTATAGCCATAGAATATTTTACTCTTTACAACGAATAAGTGTTGATGTCAGCGTGCTCATGGAATATTTTCTCCAATCAGTGGCATACATCTGACACGTTCAATGATGTATATCTCACAAATATACATTTTTCCTAGTTTGAAGACTTTATAATCATAATAAGGCAATGAATCTTTAATGAAACCAAATTATCCTCCACGTAATTGTAACTGATACTCATGAAGGAAACTTGTGGATGGTAGTATTTGCAGTTACAATTACATCTATATACAATCTCTAACGCGTAAAAAAAGTATTAAGGTTACTATTATCGAAACTACCGTAGTCTTTTAATGATAAAAGAAGTTGAAAATCATAATTTTTAATTTAACTACATACATTACCAGATATAGAGTATCAATCATTAAAAATTCAATAGATATTAAAACTTACCTTTATCTAATAAAATCAAACTAGTTACTAATCCGATTTAAATATAATCAGATACGGAGCAGTTATTATATTTACAAATGCATGTTCTAATCTTTCTTGTGCTTGATTGATTCCGTGGCATACGTATATCAATTTAATATTATTGCATTCTTACTTTTAATTTTGAAAGAAATTCTACTAAAGTAATACGTACTTATTTCAATATAATTTAACGCTAATTAGCATCTTAGTACGAGATATCTTTTTAATATGTACCATAAATCACAGAAAGAATATACATTCCAGAGATCTTTCAATTATATTTATTTACACCATCTCATGACGATAAAGTTATATATACGCGTACATTCGTATTATTTAATTCATAGTACAAGATTCCTATGGTGGTGTAATATCTGCATTGCTGCTAGTAAATTAGAATCGGTAGAAATGATGGACTTCATCTTGGTGCGATGAATACTGTGTAGTGTGAAATCATTTTCTAAATATGTATGTATTAGTTTGTAATGCTGAATGTGCTACATGACATAAAATAAATACAGTAGATTGAATATTATTTCAACGAGACTATGTTGCAACGACAAATATTCAAATACATTGCCATGATATAAACATCAGTATATGCTATTAAAGCTAGAATATTGTTTTATCACTTATTATCTCAATTATATAATGAATGTATCACCCTACCATTTATGAGGCAACAATCAAACTATTTGAAATTTCTGGATTCTATAATATACTCGTACTTATATTCGATGGTATACTTGATTAAGTAAACAAAGGCAAGAGTATCGGCATTGCTTTTTGATGACTTTTCATCAAGGTCGATAAGTGCTACCAGTACCAACAGGCTTCCAGCATAATACGGTATCGCATACGAGTATTTAGGACAAATGATCACAATGATAGATGCCTATCAACTAGTGCTTAGATATGGCATCACATTTCCATAAGAGAATAACTATTTTGTTTTCTGTTTGCTATTGTAATTCGAAATTGATTGATTGCAAGACAAGCACAGTATCGTAATCTCTTTTTCATACAATAATAATTTTATTTTGGAAAGAGCAGAGTTGTATAGCTATTGTAATCTATCAACTATTTCATCTGAGACGGTATTGAAATTTTACAATTAATTGATTTTAATTAAGGTAAAGATATTAGTCAGATGCAATCTACATATGTTGCTAACTTAGCCCTCTCAATAGGATTAAGCTTAGAGTTACTGCTGACGATTAATGTGACAACTGAGCTTCCTACAGCTCAAAAGGTACTCCGATTATAATTATTGTACTGTATCTTGCATTTAACCCTATACTGGTTAACTACCCTTACCCCAATGCAAAGCCCGTGATAGTTTTGCTTACGTGTAGTTTTTAATGTGGCCCTTCAATATATAAATATTGTCTTACTGTAAGTAGTAAAATATCGATTGCAATATGTATTACTGTAAATGTCTATCATTACATAATTTAAGAATCCTCAATGGATCTCACAAATACCAGTGGACTCTTCCTTGGAGAACTCGGTTGTGAATCTATATAGTAGTCTTGAAATATTAGCACAATGTTAGCACATTATTTGTCCTACTTGATAAATTTTGAATTGTGACATTACATAATGTGTATACGCAATAACGAGGTTCAGTCACAGAATTAAAGTAAACATTACTTAATGATTACGTAGATTAAAAGAACCGTTCCGTGTTTGTAGTTACGGTTCCCTACCAGTCATACTTTAATTACACTCAATCTAAATTAAACTAAATTAAGAATGCAACGATTGAATTTGCATAAAGTCTATAATTGATTGATTATCATGAATCGGTAACGAATTGCGTGCTTCGTGTAATACTATGGGCATGACGATCAATAAACTCTTATGAATAGTAAAGTTCCGAATAGCTTTAGCGATCATACAATATTATTTGAACTTACGGAATAAATTTGAACTATTAATTTCTTGATTACTCTTCATTACAAATTATAGAATTAATAGAACTATTTTATGCCATATAACTTAAGTTTTACGGGACTGTTAGACTGTTATAGGAAAACAGTCTGATAAACTGACGATTTTAAGAAAATTTAGCGAGATTAATGATCATAAAAATGTTCAAAGCGATACTTTAACTTTACTTATTTTTCTTTTATATCCAAACAATAGATAAGAGTTAAACTAAGTGACCTCTTTCCAGTCCAGATCTTAATGAATAATATATGTAACGGTGCTCGATGATATTTTTTCAATTATTTTATCTACCCAGCTACAGTATTAATTAAAGTTTAACGACTACATTCAAATAGCGATATTGAATTACTTTTATTGTGGTTCTCGATTAATATCTTATTTATTCATAATACACGCATATTCCTGGTCCTTGTCTAAATTAACATACGAGTATCCTTGTGACTCGTAATGTGCCATGACATCTAAAGGATTAATTATTTCCCTACTTCACTAGTGATGATGCTACATTAATAAGGAACTTTTTATCAAGATGCATTTTAGTATGGCAGTAGACAAATTTTTATCAATTTCCCTTAGTTTCTGTTTCCAATCTTGCGCTAGCCTGAAGTGGTTATTGTAACCTCATCAAATTACCCGAATAGTTGTCTACTGATGCTATTTTCTGGTTGCTATGCTACTTGGAATATTGAACACTATTTTACTACAGTATTCAATTGCGGTAATTATTTGTTTACTCGGTCTAATTTTCTGATTACTGTATTACGTTAACAGAAAGATACAGAGTGATTGTATTCTGATTTTAGCGCAGCGTTAATGCGGAGATAGTAGAGGATTACTTCTTACTATGTTGCTGCATTTAAGTGTTTGTCTACTGGGCTTATTTCCTGGTTTGGGATAATATTAGCTAGTTGATATTAGCCGACTATCTTACCTTAGGTTAGTTATTTGCTCACGCATCTGGTGCTATTTTTCAATTGTTTTACGATATCAATCATGGACTACTAAAAATTTTTTTGGCAGTCTTTGTATAAGTATAATATTTTCTAAATTGTATTTTGTTGCGTTGATTGACTAATTTGTCTACCATCCTATTTTTTGAATGCTATTGTGAAAGGTCATCCATACGAATATGTTATTCCTATGTATTTTCGTAATCTAGTCGCTTAATTAATTATATATTCGTACTTTTTTGCTTTATTAGAACGTTTGCTTTACGTGAAAATATCAATTGAATACTATTTCAAATAAAGTTACGATAACAGACTAGCAATATGATAAAGGAATGACAGCAAGGGTAAGATATGCTATGTTAATAGAATACAAGGCAAATAGTCGCAAGTTTAAAATTCCATATACAGTTTCCTCTTTCACTAGAATCAAAATGAGGAAACACCCAACGTAGAACCATTCTTCCTGCTTTCAACCGGTAATATCTTTGAGATTACAGTATATCGACGTAGATGATTATGAAGAGATCCGTTACTTAATTATTGATGCACGTGATTTAGGGTGTAAGATTGTTCATGACTAATTGTCTTCGCTAATTTTTATTGACATAACAGGAATAGTTTACCTTATTGTAATTTAATAGGCAACTGAGACAATTTAGACAATAAGAGGTTTGTTATTTCTAGCAACATTTAGTTATTTATCTTCAAATTACAATAGATTTAACGACCTAATTAACTAAATTAGGCTTGCCTCCTTATTTAATGAATAATAAACTAGCAGCAAATTGTTAACTTTAGCATCTCATTTGACGACGATATAAAGATCAATAATCGTCTAATGATGTATCATTTAGAAAAATACCAATTAACCGAAAAAGAAATTATAATTTTCGCTAATAAGCAAGGGCAGATCACAATATGAATGCTAAAAAGTGTCGTAACTCGTGACGGATTACATAATGATCTATTAATTAGCCATAATGAGATAAATTAGATTATTATTATTATCTGCAGGGTTAGAAACGATAGCAAATTCCTTATAATATAATCCACTAGCCATTTATGATAAAGAATATTGGAACATTAATTTCAACATGATCATTATACTTTTAATCTACTGTATTTATTCGTATATATGCAACAAAATCGTCATATCGTTATTAATTTATGTACTATTATTATTCAAAATCAAATAGTTTTAATGACGCATGTTTTGGCTTGCAATGAAGGTTCAAATCCTATCGTTACTAATGCAAATACTAATTAAATCATTACTAACCAGACCAAAGTCAACATTCGTCAACACCCAACTGTTTATTTATTGACATTTGATGATTCACAAATAGAAAATCTCCTTCGCATTCAATGGGTAAGCTATAAAAGTAGGTTACAAGGCGGAAGTTTTACATTTTCTGTCTTGCCTGCTGTGCGAAACAAGGTATTATAAATCGTTTGTTTCATTTTAACTTTAAAGTATGCAGAGTATAAAAAATCGACTAACTTGAAAGCGTACATTATAGATGGCATCATGTAATCACTAAATTTAATATTTTAATATATTGATTTACTTAGGATAGTCAAAATGAACATGAAATTGGCTTTGATTGCCTCCTTACTTTTGTTGGCTGTTATTGTCAACGCTGAGGAAGAGAAAACTCCAGTCCGTGAAGAAAATGAAGATGAAGAATCACAATTGCGTGAACTCGAAGAGGAAGATTCACCTGTGCGTGAATTGGAAGATGATGAAGAAGAAGAAATTGCCAGCCGTATGAACGAAGACAAACTCGTAAGTTCAGGATAAGCGTGCATTGACCTATTTAGTCAAAAATTCTAAGGTTTCCAACTCAACCGGCACTACTGCAACATTTGGCCATACTTTCAGTATTCTTTCAGACTATACGTAGAACTATCGTTTAAATTGCTAATTTTAAAATTCTGTACCTACGATATCGTCGCTTTATCAATAAATTAATTATACTTTTCTTGTGCTAGTGGAGTCGTCGTCGCCGCCGCTGGGTCTCTTCTCGTCGTCGCCTTGTCTTTCGTCGCCGCTTTATCTATTATCGTCGTCGCTATATCATTTATCGTCGCCGCTTTCTCTCCACTCGTCGCCGTTGGGGAAAAAAATAAATTTGCCGTAGTGGTATATAGTAGCATGAATAAGAATAAACTAAATCATCGGCAATAAATAAGGATCGCTTGAGATCATTGTTTACTCAATTCTGACCATTTAATACAGCGCGATGCTTTCTTAACTTGATTATTATGATGCTAGAATGATGTAAAACGCAATAAAGATCAACTATTTGCAATATAAAGTACTTGTGATTTTATGTATTATTGGTAAAAATTAAAGTTAAGGTTGTAAGCAATCACAGTGTAGGATCATCTTAACATAATTATTCGCTTATTTTGAAGACTATTTCCGAAATTCAGTTAGGTCAAGACTGGTTAGAATACATTAGCGATTATTAACCAAAATTGACTGGAGATTGTAAGCAACCACAGTTTGTAATCGCCTCTACATAATTATTCGCTTATTTTTTGAAGACTATTTCCGTAATCCAGTTAGGTCGAGACTAAGAACACACTAGTGCTTATAAACCAAAAACTAATCCTACTCATTGTTTGTGACGGCTCTATTTACATATCAGTGTAAAATAGTAACGCGTTAGAGGCAGTCGTTTATGAAACCGGTATTCCAGTTCGACCAGTAATGGTTCATTTGCAAAATTTTAGCTAAGAGTTAAATCAATTAAATTAAACTCGAATAACCTTAAGTGATTAATTAAGGAGAAACGAATCTATAGAGGATTTAATATAGGTAAATTATCATCTATTCTATAGATTGTAGGAGTCTAATAATCTAGATCCGTATCAACATGACTGAGATTCCTAGAATTTCAGCTACAGATATAGTTAAAGTTATTGCGTTTTATATCTCCATTTTCAAGTAAAGTATGGATAGTCACGCATGCTAACTTTAAGCAGATGATTTTCTAAAAAAGTAACAGCGATAGCAACTATTTCCATTTCTAGTTTGACTTACGATCAGATTATTGATTGAATCAGGCTGTAAACCGAATTTTAACACCTAAAGAAAATGTAGTTGATAAATTTTCAATTTACTATCAATCATCTCTGTGACTAGCTATACCATTCACTGGCATCACATGTTTATGTTATTAAAGTATAACGCTATTTGGTTTTGAAAGCGTAAGAAGAAGATACTATTTATAATAAAACTTAGTGAATATTATGTTATTTTCAGTCACTCTAATAGCTGTGATTATCACAAACAGCTACTGCATTAAGAGTCCATTTGTTCAAACGTAAAACATAAACAATCGCTGACAGCCTTCGCATCGACACTATTTAGCTAGACTAAAGTATACTGTATATCGATTATTCATCGGTTAGATGTTGAGTGCAATCAACGAAGCTAATATAGCAGTCATAGTATCTCTTTGAATCCGCCAATATTATCTTGTCCACGATATTGATCGCCAGGACATGCTAACAATAAGTTTAATTACTTTAAGTGATGAGGATACTATTTAGATACCGTTATTGGTACTGCATACGATAAGAACATCAGATATAATTGCACAGTCTCGACTGCTTTGCTGATTACTAGCTGCTCGTCAATCACCTGATGATCTTGTATCGCTTATTGCTCTGTACTCTAGGTGAAGAGATGAATTTTTGTTGCGATCAATTTAATCTGTATAATCGCATTTATAAACCTAATAATTTCTTGTAGTAACTTAAAATTGAGTATTGTCTATAGATGAAGATGAACATGGAAAAATATAAAGAAATATGGATATGTTAATTTGAATTTATTAGATATCTATGGCTTATTCCTTTTTCATTGAAATCATATATTAAATTAATATTTAGAATTATTTGTTAGAGACATATGAGTAGGAATTTTTTGATCATTTATTGATTTGAAAGATTGAGAAAGAACATAAAATGTAGTGGTATACAAAAGACTTCAAGTTGCTTATAAAATTTGATATAATCACCGTAGGCAAACTAATTAGAAAGCGTTCTATTGCAATAATAGTTAATCCTAACATCGTTTACAGTATCTCCTATTGGCTAAAAAGGAATGGATTAAAACTTTATTGCCCAATCTTGACCATCTTTATTCTTCAACGAATCACTTAGAACGAAGATTGTTTCTAAGGAAGCAATAGAAAGTTGCGGTAGCCAATAAGGTTAATGTTTTACATTTATTTTTTAGTTCTCATTTCTATTAATCGATAATATGACAAATTTACCTCTTTTTATTCTTTGTGATTATATTATCATGAATGTTTATTTTTATAGTATTAAAAGTTTAATTTTACAGGTATAAAATAATATTTAATTAACGATCACCTTCCTGTCGAGAAATCGACAATGTTTAGGCTAGAATATTGTAGCGTAATAAATTCAAGCATTATTTGAACAAGATATCAAAAATATGTGTATGAAACTGGGATAGTAATTATAGTACTGCCCAAGTACTCCTAATAGCCAGCTTGTAAGAAGTGACATTCAATTGCAATTGATTTCTGTATTTACAATGTATTAGAGGCAATATGTATTATCCTACATATTAGTAATAAAAATTCATCTGTTGGGATAGCTATTGATGGAAATATCAAATATTATAGTGAAATAAACAGTGTACAGTTTGCAGTATTTTGCCATTTAATTCGTTAGCCACTTGTTTGCTCACCTGTTGATCACTTTGTTGACCACTTATTATCGGCCACTCTTTGTTTGTTCGTCGGACACATACGAAATGTACAACTTAAATTTACAGTAACTATCGATAAGAATATCACTATGATTTACTAATTAATTACTCTATTTGCTACTTATGAATTATCAAGTGAATTATATTAGCAGTAAAAACAACTCACTAGTCTAATGGTATTACATATGCGTCTTTTAAATATTGATGTTACATTTCGTAATATGTATCATATTTCATATACTCGTATTACGGTAATATACTTTGAACATTATGTAATGTAGCGACAATGTGCTAATTTTAAGAACAAAAATGATGAATTCTGATGGACGATATACGAATTTATATGTAGTCATTGCAAGATTAGATGACCAACTAGACTGTAATTAGTAGTTCAAGTAAAATTGGTGGATTTGCTATTCACTGTATGCCTCGTCCATGCAATGTATCTATGTAGTAGTTTATCACTTGCTTTCGTCATATACGCGCCGACCACTAATATCATATGGGTATAATTACTTGTAAAATTGATAGTAACAACTGTAACTTTAAAATTAACCCTAAAGATAAACTTAAACTTTTGCTACTTACTGCCATTATAATCTATTTCATCTTAGAACAAAGTGACTTTAGACTAATTAAGGTAAGAAAATAACATGTGAATATATCATCGACCTATGCACTAATGTCTGCTTTATGAAGAGAAATTCAGCCGACTATCTTTAATTCTTAAATATTTTACATAAAATATCTCAAATTATTGATTAAACATTGCCTTTATTTCTAACCATTAATAAAATTAGATACCAACGCCCTAAATAACATGTTTTATATATATAATTATTGAAACCATATAAAAAGTGGTGTTTTTGCGTAAAAAAATAGAATTTTTTCAAGTTAAAAATACGAGTAAACTCTAACTATTAATATATTTTCATGTTTGGAAGGTGAGGTACCGTTAGATATGTTATAACTATAGGATAGATATCATCTAATAGCCGATAGTTGTCACGTATGCAGGCGTTATAACTAGTTTCTTATTGTATCGTAAGGCTAATGACCTTTCTACTGCTATAATATAAAAGTTATGCATACTATCGATGAATGATGTAGCACAAATTAATTAAGCTAAATTATTTTTTGCCCGGCTTCCAAGGGTTACGCTTCCAGAAGCGACGACGACGACATTGTCGCCACTAAAATAAATAATAAGAACAAAGCTTAGAATCTCCATCATATTCAATTTATCAATATATTAGCTGATCAAGATATGTATACGATTAACTTGGATGTGATATTCCTTTATCAAACTGTATACTATACTATGATACAATTAGTAGGCAGTTTTATCTATTTATCGGTGTTACCGTTAATTGATTAGACACAGTGATCTTATGGTTAGTAAATATTTATGATGCTAAACTTACTCATGCGGCTTTCTGGCCGACTTCGACCAGGTCTGCTTCATTGATATCCTTGTCTGAATCAGCTAGTGCTGACTCTTCCTCATCTTCTTCAGCTAATTCTTTATCTTCTGGAACAGATTCAAGCTCATTTTTTAAATCTTCGATTTCGGTAACGTCTTCTTCAGCTGAGATGGCAACCGCCTAGAAGAGTAAGGAGGCGACGATTAACCACTTAAATTTCATGATTCCAGATTATAAAAATCAATTCAGGAGAACAAAATAAAATTTAGCTTAAATTCAGAATTTAATGGTGATTAACATAGTAACGCTCAATTTATCTACTAAATGGAAGATATCATCATGGCACTAGATTCATCTTTATAGTACGGATTAAGCTAATATAATCCATTATAAATAAATGTAAGGCTGATACTAACCAATGATGATCACACCACGGCTGCAAATAATTTTTGGCTGCAACTGATTTGCTTATATAGCTTCCGACGATAGAGCAAATAACAATACTTTCTAAAGGTCTTTATAATAGCTTCGAATTAAAAATCTTGCGTGCACATCATCGAATAACAATATATTTTATTTTAATTGTTCACATTTACGTACACCCAAGAATGATTTTAATTTATTTTAGCTATAAAAGCAATCGTCTTTTCAATGGGCTTTTACGTAATAAACTGATTTCAATACTAAGGTAACAAAAATAAATTATAAAATGTCATTTATTTTAGATCATGTACGTATGTTTACAAGTGGTATTTCATCCAGTTTTTTAAATATTTAACTAAAGTCTACTAGGAATAAATAAAATTAAGAATACCGATAATGTAACATTACTTTAACGAGTTTGATTTTGTAACTTGATTCATAGTACTAGTACTTGTCTATTCACAACGTCAAGTGAAAGGAAGAGAAGGAACCATAATAACAAAATGATGATAATTATTTATAATTGTAGAAGTTCATCAATTGAATATGCCATGAACTTGCAAACAATATACTCTGTATCTTATTGTTTTGCTTCTATAACATATTAACTCGAGCAATAGAATAAACTGCAATCTCAATTATTACCGTCATTTTATGAACACTTTTAATCCCATAAAATACAAAAAGCGGACTTTTCAAGTATTTATGCATGTA